AAGTCAGGAGAAAGTGTGTTGCAGACCCTTGTGACAGCCATAAGCAGTAGCTGACACTAGATGCTAAATGCTATTTAAGCCGCTTGGCAAACCTCAGCCAGGTCCAGTAATTGTAGGTGGATGAGAGCTTGCCGAGGGTCATTAGGTTCCTGATGGAGGAAATACCGCTGAAAGGCAGAAGAGGAAATGACAGATTTAATGAATAGTGGTCACAAGCTGAACTACAAAGAGCAATCGGTCTGTATGTTTTCCTACAAGAACGATGATAGCAGAACCAAGGCCAGATGGTCCCTGCAAAGTACCTGATGGTAAAACCCCTCCAAACCAGAAGGCATGACAAATGGCACCAGGCAAAAGTCTCTGACCAGTAAGAAGAGTAGCTGCACTTATGCAGGCAGTGAACCGAACTCTTTGAGCGGGGCTATGTCCTCCTTCTTCCACCACAAAGGAGAGTGCCAAGTCTTTCGCAGTTGAAACATCAAAGCATTGCCTCTGGAATGGGAGGTCTCAGCATTAAGGGCTTGTTGCCACTGTTACCAATGGTTCAAAAACCTGAAAGATAGATCTAGGTGGAATATCAGATATGCATGAAAAGAAAGAGGTGTTTCACGCTGATGGACAGGATTTAGCATGCTAGTCAAATCCAAGAAAATGAGATTGTACTTGTCATAGTCAAAGAGACATTAAAAGCCTATGCTTGGACAGCGCGGCACTGGCAGCAGAATCCCTGCAGTCTGTCTCTGAGCAGTGCTGCGCTGTGTGTTGATCACGGGGGTTTTACGCTTTTGTGGAAACAGCTAATGATGACATGATTCAAGATTCTGTAGAGGGCTCAGAGGGAGGCTTAGTAAGACATCAAATAATGATGTCAAACTTTTCATGCATGACAAGCTAAATGTAGAAGTGTCATTCTCACAGGGACTTAAACAACAGTTGGGATTTGCTTTCAAAATGAAAGAGGAAATCATCCGGGCCAATTTGTTAGTTTAGACACATGAAACACCATCCGAATGAAGATGGTGGTCTGCATCATGAATGAAGCGGGGCACAGACGCTTCTGCCACGGACATCGATGGATGATGTGTCTGTAATCAGCGATGCAATGACACAGCAGCGCTGGAGGCAAACTGTCAAGTGGACAAAAGCTTTATTGTCCTGGGGAAAGGTCATCAAGTCTGAGCCTTTAACATCGTCAAAACTTCTCAAAAGAACACACAGCCAACCACACACTATTCACAGATAGTCACCTTCTACCTTCTTGACTGCCATGCTGCTCAGTGCACCGGTGGACCTGCTGCTGCTGTATCTGCTATCTTGAACACCGGTTCTTTTTGGCTAATACATGTATATTGTCCTGTGTTCTAATTAACCCATTTTTTATTAAAACTCTTCAATTTTTTTCTGTCTAGGAAAACAAAAATGGTGGCGTCTGTATGTTGTTGAACATCCATCATAGCAAGCTAGCTGCAGAGAGGAGAGGAGAGGAGAGGAGAGGAGAGGAGAGGAGAGGAGAGGAGAGGAGAGGCTGGACCCACCTACATTGCTCCATCACAAAACGGCCTGTCTTTCTAACAGCTTTGTTCTGCACAAACCTGAAAAGGAGAGCTTACTGCAGGAGCAATGAGGTGCAATTCCATGGCTCTGTTGTCCAAGATGGGTGCAACAGACATTTCTGACTGTAACACTCAACTCCAGGAATAAACAAGATGATAAATGGCTTTAATGAGTAAAAATGAACATCTAATGCAGCAAGGGGAAGAGCAGTGCTAAATGATTATTGACTTGTGAGTTGGGGCCCATCGAAGACCTGGTATCCCATGAGGTTGTCTCTGAGGAACAAAGGGATAACGTGCTGCCGTTCATATTGCAAGAGGCAATTGCTGGATAAGGTCTGGCCTGGTCCCTAGGTTACACCCAGGACTGGATAGTCCATGGCCATCCAGTGCTTTTATCATAGGTCCCCTGTGTACCTTCACCCAAGCTCACAGGCCTCCCCCCATGTCTGATGCATTGCCTAACAACTTCAGGGCTCCAGGCAGGAAGCTGTTTCTTGGAGGATACTTAAGAGAACAATAATGACCATGGAAAGCTTGTTCCCCTGCGTACTGCCATGAAGACTGTTGGTATTGCAGTGCCTGTTGGCAAAGATTCTCTGCTTCCCAAAGGGAGAACGGAAAGCTGGAGCACCATCTTGGAGTAAAGAGACAGATGTCAGTGGAAAAAAACCCAAAGCTTTTGTTCTTCTTGACTGTGTTCATTGGAACGGAAAATCCAGGCAAGGAGACTGGAGAGCCTGCCGTTCACAATGCCAGGTCTCCTGGTTTCTAATTTTAGAACAAAGCACTCCTCACCGCCGCTTTTCCTAAACGCCCCCGTTACACGTATTTTCGGAGGATGATTTCATAAGGTCTCACAGCAGCAGGGACTGAGCAGACGTACATGCAGAATCTAAGAGGGAGAAACAGCTGTGTAAGTAAAAATCTACCATCTCTTGTTGTCAGGGTAGGCTACAGAGTAGATGCAATCAGCACTACTTTAGAAAGCACTGGCTTGAGTGTGCAACAGGGTTTGTATCCGCTTACAAGAGTGCAAAGGAAATAAAACCGACCTCCGACCACGTGACGGAAAGGGTACGGTGTCGGGTGTGAGGAGGACGGGGTTCTGTTCTGGGCAAACTTCGTCCGTCTGTCCTTGCTGCCTCCACTGTCACGTTTAACAGCCGTGTCGGTGCGGAGTCTGCCGTGGTGCTCGTGTCACTACCGCGGTGTTGGGCACCTTGCGTCCTTGGTGTCTATACCGACAGCAAGCCGGCAGAGGCTCACTCGCTTTTAAACCCTCTTTTACTTCCTCATTGGCATATCGAGGGTTCCAAATCTTTTCTCTTCTCTTAATTTACGTTACAGAGGTTTCTGTTCAGTGGAAAGCAGCCCTCCTCGCCAATGGGAACTAAACCCCTTTCAGGCAGCAGGGCTCTTGCCCACCCGTTAATTAAGACCTCTCGAAGCTGCAGTGCAAGTGGGTGGCTGTCGAGCAGCTCTGAGTAAGCTACAAGAGCGTGTCATCATTGCCAGGCTTGGCCCAGCTTAATGTCAGCCAAGACATTGTGGGGGAAACCTGACTGCAAACAAAAGCAGAGCCAACTGCACTGTTTGTCCTTGTCCAAATGAAGGCAAGGGCAAACGGGAAATATTTACAAACAGGATTCATAAAATCCCTCCATTTTTAATACAATAAAGAGAGGTGTTGGCTTCCACGGCACATGCATTGCAAGCTGACAACAGTGTTTTCCTTGGGCACGAGCCAACGCTTTGGCTCTCCTGCTCTTTCACCAGACACGAGCCCTCTGGGATGAGTCACTGGTTCTTCTGGCGGGGCTGCAACCTGCTGAGCCAGGAGAAGGAGCCCTTGTTGCACAGAACATGAGGAGATGACGTGCTGTGTGGGTCACACGGGCAACCAGCACCGCTTCCCACCACTGGCCGATGCAGATGGCACAAAGAGGACTTGCGGGCTTGGAGGAGATGGAAATAAAGCCAGGACTCCCCAGGACCTGTGCCGAAGCAGGGTCACCTACAGCAGGCTGCACAGGACCTTGTCCAGGCAGGTCTTGAATATCTCCAGAGAAGGAGACTCCACAACCTCCCTGGGCAGCCTGTTCCAGTGCTCCGTCACCCTCAGAGAGAAGAAGTTCTTCCTCATGTTCAGACGGAACTTCCTCTGCTTCAGTTTGTGCCCGTTGCCCCTTGTCCTGTCGCTGGACATGGGGTTTGGGTACCGCATGTAATCTCTGGTGACCATCTAAGAGTCCGCGTGGCTCCACCAGAAGCTCCAGTCCAGCAATTCCAGTACTAAGTGAGCTGCAGCAATTCATTTCTGTAAACCTCGGTCCTCAATCACCTCCAACTCCTTGCTGTGATGCATTAACCCCTTCCCTGTCCTCTCCCACCCCAGGAGAACCGGTGGTTACATGAAGGGAGCACGTGGCCGGAGACCTCTGAGCCAAGCAGGGTGGGTTTTGTTTGCGTTTCTTTTTATTTCGAGAGCCCTCGAATGAAAAAAAGAAGGATGATTCCGTGAGTAAGGGATGTGCGATCACGGGTGTCCAACGTCGACTTGTGGAAACTATAGGAAGAGGCAAAGCTCTTCACTTCGGGTGCTGCCATCAGTGCTAGGAGTCAAAGACATTAATGATTGCTAATCCACAGCTTGCCTTTTGACGGGTAAGTGCTAATCAACGCTAATTGCGGGAGCTGGGTGAGTGGGGTCCTGGCAGCGGCCACGCTTCCCTCTGAGGCGGTTCCCAGCCG